TATATATATATATATATATATATATATATATATATATATATATATATATATATATATATATTACTTTTATATATAGTGACCATTGAGTCTATAAAAATATATGGATTATTTCCTCTCATGAAACAATTTTTCCATCCCTTTTAATGAAAACATAAAATTATAACGACAAATGTTTTTCAAAAAGTTTTTGCATTTAGAATCTGCAGATTGATAAAGATTTTCAAAACATGGTGGAAACCACAGTTAAAGAAAAAAACACTATTGAATATTTCAAATCATAATGACCAAGGAATATAACATAGAAACTATCAAAATAATAATCATTTGCATACAAATATTTATATGCAACATTAGATATTTTGTTCTTATGTCTATCCTCGTTATTTTCAGCTAATATGTAAAATAGATTCAAAACATCAACAACGTTCTTTCAAGTCAAAATTAATGATAAAATCATCATCTTGTAGGCTCGAATATTAAATTTAATTGAATGAAAAAAGAAAGATAATCATATATGGTAATATCATTGTTTTATTTAAAATCAAAAAGCAAGATGATATAATAAACAAAGATGACAAAAATCCCTAAATTAGTTATTTGTTATATATAAATGTCACGTTTAACTAAAATATAATCATACAAAAAATTCAACTTTAGGGTTTGATAATATCAGTATCATTACGATAAATAAACTTAATTACCAAAAACATATCCAAACAAATAACTTTTAATTATGTGTAAGTTCTCATCAAACGACAACCTTACTTGTGTCATAAATTTTAAAACCAACTAGGTTCTTCAGTTTAATCTTAATCGTTGATTAATAAAAAAAAGGCTTTTAACATTAGCACCAATTTTCGCCAACTTGAACCAAATGTATATTTTATGCAGAATGCATGATCCTTTAAAAACTACCTTAAGAAAGATATAAAAAAAATGTATAAAGTAGGATTGTCTTTAGTGTCTTAAAGACAGTAATACCCAATGTTTTTAGAAGAAAACTTAAGCTACTGGAGATGAACGTCCCAATGGTGCCTCCAATGGAACAAAGCTATAGGTATTTAGGTTCAACCTAAATTCCTCCAAAAATTCAGATAAATATCATTTAATGGATATTAAAATGAGGTTTTTGTACATGGTCAACGTCAATACCATATCATAAAAATCATGACACTTATTTATCAAATGCATCATTTATTGACAAATAAATAGAAGAAACTTCCAAATCCTTCACAAAATTATTGCATTGGATTTTTAAATAAGATATATCAAATCATAAAAAGGGTCTAATACTCTACTTATGATTATATAAAATCTTAATGATCATCTTTGACCTACAAAGTGCAAACAAAATCTGTTGCAAAAAAGATTGCACTTATGGCTTGAAGGAAAAAAGTAGGGAAATATTTGAAAAACGTAAGGAGTAAATAATACCAAGAAAATGTCCTAGGTCAACGGAGCCAAGATTTAT